GCCATTCCCCCTTGGTTACAAAGAGATCTGCTAAGTATAAAAATACATTTCCTGTTCAGGAATGAATAAGATGGGTAGTTTATAATTATTGGGTCAATCCTGTAAAGATTTGCACTCTTCCGAAAATCATTGCCAAACTTTCTACAGTGAAAAGTTCACTAAGAAGTGTGCTGTTTAACAGATCCTGCTATCTCAGCCTTAAGCATCTCACTGTTCTGCTCTCTTTACACTTGCAGGCCCAACTCTGCAACCAGCTGTTGCAATTTTTTAGATAGACCGCAGTTATCTGGACTTGGGCAATGTACAGCCATTACGGTCCTATTCTCCAGAACTCTATCTTAACTGAGCAGTTGCAGAAGTTACCTCCCACCCTGCTCCTTTGTGTTGATGTCCTAGAACTAGTCATGACCCATTTCTTCAGTGGCTTTATTTTCCAATCTTGTGGCACAAATCCTGGTTAGCTAAAGCTGCGTGTTTAACGCTTCACACCGTATGCCCTTTAAAGGAGGATGTCATTTTTTGGTGTGTCATTTGATAAACTCATTAAAGAAGTCACAGGTGGGAAAGTTCTGCTTGCACAGCAAAAGATTGAAACCCTCCCTTCCCTCCCTCAGGATCTGCTACCTCTTTAAAACACAGAGCATCTAAATGCTCTACCCAAGCTTCAGCTTCAAAACCTAAGTTCAGCGCTTCTTTTTGGCATAAGACTTGGCCCAAAAAGCTCTGTCTTCCTCCGAACCCTTTCTCTAATGAATGGGCACCCTCATTCTTAAGAGTTGGTGGATGTTTGCTACAGTTTGCCTATCTTTGGGTTACAAATGTCCCATGCCTGTGGGTTCAGTCAGTGGTTTTAAAGGGGTTCAAAAAGTTCCAAACTCTACCCACTCACTTTCTTCTTTCAGATCAACCCATGGACTGCTCAAGCCAGATTTGCAGAATGCTTTGAACAATTTCTTGTCCCGGGGAATAGTTGTGTCAGTACCCTCACAAAGACTGCTTCAAACTATTTTGTTCAAACCTGTTCATAAGTATCAAAGCCCAACAGGAATATTTGTCCTATTCTGGGCCTAAAATTCCTCAACAAATACCTTCAAATTCCAAAATTTTGCTAATCTGCAAGATCAGGTATTCATCAGCATTTTTTGCTCTTTTCATTGAAAAACAATCCTATTCAGTTTGTTGCACTGCTTTTGAATTCTCTTCTTCTCCCAGTGTATTGAGTGTATGTCTTGCCCTTCCAATTAGCATGACCTAGAACTCCTTCAAGGCTGTTCCATTCAAGGACACTGTAGCACAACATCTTGTTGGCCTACAGCAAGCATGCTCCTCTCAACCTACCCATGCTCCTGCCAGCCAAGTAAGCAATGCTCTAGCTTGTTATGGCTGGGTTCAAGGATCCACCAGTTGGGACGTCCTTTCTTCTTACTAGAAAGTAATAACGATAGACACCAGTCCCTCACAATCCAGGGAATATCTTGGAGCTCAGAGCAATCAAAGTGCCTCTTCAACTTTGGACCCCCCATCAAAGTTCTTTCAACTGCATTCTGCAATCCCACAATGCCGTGGTCTACATGAACAACCATGGGTGCACCAGGAGTCAAGCCAGATCCTCGCTGTCCAACAATCTCTGCTGTCCCCATACCAGGCGTGGACAACTGTAAAGTGGATTACTTCAGCTGTCACAGCCTGAATCAAAAGGAATGGGCCCTTCATCCTAAAAATTTCAACCTGGTCAGAAATGGGTAACACCAGATGTGGATATTCTGGCCTCCAGATTCAACAACAAACTACCTCTTTGTGGCTAGTTACAAAAGATCATCTAGCACTGGCATTGGATGCCTTGATAATCCTTTGCTCTCACTTCAGGCTAATCTACACCTTCTCTCCAGTTTGTTTTCTACCTCATCTGCTCCACAAATAGTGACTAGAAGCCAGTGATTTGCATTGCGCCAACCTGAACTTTGTACAGACATGCTTGGATTACTTGGAAACGACCCCTGGCCTGCTAGCACTGCTGTCCCAGGTACCTCTGTTCCATCCTGCTTCTCAGTCATTAGATTTAATGACATGACTGTTGATGCCAATGTCCTAAAAGACAGAAGGGTCTCTGAGTGTGTAATCCCTAACTTGCAAAAACCTGGCAACTCCATTTCCACAAAGATCTATTACCGTACCTGGAACTCTTTCTTTGCTTAGTGCACTTCAATCCAACAGATTTCTTGGTCCTCACATTCTGGCCTTCCTCCAATCTGGACTTGATCAAAACTTTGTTTTAAATAAAGAGAAAACCCAACATTTCATATTCCTGATATTTGCCTGCTATACCATGCCTTTCACCAGAAAGTAAGTGTGTTTTCTCTTTCCCTAGCTATGTAGCTGAGAACAGAGGATGTGTAATTGCTTATAAAATAGGAAACAAAAGTATTTGTTTATATCTATACACAAATGCTTTGCCTTTCATTTCCATTTGAGACTGAATGGGTTGTTTTTACAAGGTGAGGGTTTACAATCACTTTAAGCAAGGACTGGTTTCCTCATTTATTCCATTCTTTCAAAAACTGCTGGCTACAGTCTCCTTGTCAAAACCTTTATACAAGATACTTCTTTATAAGTTACCCCTATACTCAAGACCAGGGGTCTCTAAACTTTCTAAACAAAGGGACAGTTTACTATCTTTCAGACTTTAGGGGGGCCGGTCTGTGGCCATTGGGAATTGAAATTGTCCTGGTGCTAGTGGGAGTAAACAATGCTTCTTTAGTATTAGGGGGAGGCATACTGCCACATTGCTGGTGTCAGTGGAATGAATAGTGCCCTGTTGTTGTTGTCAGTGGGAGAAATAGGGCCCCATTGTCGGTGTCATTGGGCCCTATTGCTGATGTCAGTAACAGGAATTATGCCCCATTGTTGGTGTCAGTGGGATGAAAGGTGCCTCAAGGGCCAGATAAAGGCAAGTAAAGGGCTGCATCTGGCCCCATGGCCGCAGTTTGGAGACCACTGCTCAAGACCATCCTTTCTAATCAAGGTGGTAACAGACTTCCATCTCAATGAAGATATAGTTCTTCCATCTTTGTGCCATGCTCCCATGCCCCCTTCAAACATTGCTCTTCATTGCCTGGAGTTAGTCAGAGCTATCAGTCTCTCTCAAAGCAACAGTTTCTATGAGGAAGACCTTAGTCAATCATTGTTCACTGGATCAGGCAGCTGATCACCAGAGCTTACACTCTAAAGGACCAAACCCCTACTCCTGTGTTTTTGTGTCTGTGCCAACAAATTGACAGGTGTTTTTTGGGCATTTTTGGCACCAGGCTGATGTAGCTTAGCTTTGTAAGGCAGCCACTTGGTCTTTGATTCATACTTTTTAAGTTTGATCAGGTGGACATCCAATCTTCTACAGTTGCAGTCTTCGGCCACAAAGTTCTTCCAGCAGTACTCTTAAGTTGAGTCTGTTGGCACAGTTTCATTTGCTCAATGTTACCCATCCTTCTCATTCATTGCTTAACTGCTTTCGCGCCTCACTATAGCAGACATATTGCTACATGGCTGCAGAGGTGCACAAAATCACGTATATACCTACGTATATATGTAATCACGTATATACCCTACCCGTTCCGCCATTCACGGCCTCGGCTGTCAATCACCGAGTCCCGGCCAGTGATTCCCCGCCGGCACCCAGTGATTTCCGAGTATTACAGACGGGGGAGAGACCTGTATGTAAACAATACAGATTTCTCCCATTAGCTCCTGCACACTGCTTTGTATGGCTGCATAGCAGAGCCATACAAAGCAGTGTGCTTATAGTGAAACACACACAGCCCACATAGTAAAATAGCACACGGTTAACCCTTTGATCACCCCACATGGTAACCCCTTCCTGCCCAGTGCCGTTAGTACAGTCAGTGCTTTTTATTAGCACTGATCACTGTATTGGTGTCACTGGGGATGTCAGGTTTTTCTTTTTGTTTTTTTTGTTTTTTTCAGCAAAGACGTGTAGCAGAATACATTTTGGCCTAAATTTATGATGAAATTTGTGGTTTTTTCTTTTACATTTTTTTTTTTTACTGGACAAAAAGTCAAGTGTGTGTGTGTGTGTATATATATATGTGTATATATATATATGTGTGTGTGTGTATATATATATATATATATATATATATATATATATATATATGTGTGTGTATATATATATATATATGTGTGTGTGTATATATATATATATATATATATATATATATATATATATATATATATATATATATATATATATATATATGTGTGTGTGTGTGTGTGTGTGTGTATGTGTGTATATATATGTATATAAATTGTTGTTTTTTTTTGTTTAGAGCGCAAAAAATAAAAACTGCACAGGCAGTCAAATACCACCAAAAGAAAGCTCTATTTGTGGGGAAAAAAAGGACGTACATTTCATCTGGGTGCAGCGTTGCATGACCGCGCAATTGTCAGTTAAATTAATGCAGCGCCGTATCACAAGAAATGGCCTGGTCAGAAAGGGGGGTAAATCCTCTGGAGGGCGAGTAGTTAATGCCCCATGTTCTATGAATACTTAGCTTGTATCCCATGCTGTACAATTAAGATATGGGATTTTCAGGCAAGTCAAAATTACTCATATTAAAGTACAGTTCAGGATATTGACCACTCTCCCTTCTATTTCTTGGTTGCTCTGCACTGCTTGCTACAATACTGTGGACTCAGTGTGGTAGGATTATGGGAAGGTGCCCAGGGGACATATCCTTAGAAGCTTTGCCAGTGTCCAGTCTCTTGAGGGTACTAGCCTGCAACTCCTATGAATACTGAGCCTGTATCATGTGCGTACAAGATGCTGAATTTACAAGCAAGTCAAAATTTCTTTAGTACATGATGTAATTTGCTTCCAGCTACTGTTTTTGTAAAAGTTTTCAGTATTTTCTGTATTCTGTGCTACCTTTTAGTTGTACTTTATTGAAAGTGAACAAACTAATCTCTGATAATTTTGCTTGTTTCAGGGTCATCTTCAGTCATGCCTGGTGTAAATAGTATGAGCCATTCAAATTCTGGAAGTCCGCGCATGTTTCCACAGTCACAGCCTATGCTTCACATGGGAGGTGGACACACATCTGTTCCAACTTTGTCTTCTGTTTCAACGGCTCAAGAACGAGCAGTCTCCCAGTACCCTAACATTCAGACAGTGCAACGGGGAGGAATGTACAACATGGGATCAGGTCTCTCACAGATGGTCCCAAATCATACAACACAGGGTAACATGCCCAATGGTCAGCCTACAATGCAGAGGCAGCCAAGCTTGGGTCAAGGGAACCCTCTCCCCACTGGTTATGGACCAAATCCAATGGCGAATCCAGGCTTAGCTGCGCAACACAGTAAAGGGGTTATGAACCCTGCATTGGCCAAGGCCCAGATGCCAAGAATGCCTGCCGCCATGCCATCTCAAAACCCTGGATGGCAGCATCAAGGCATGCAAAACATAAACAATCAGGCCCAAGGAAATAATGGCCTGGGTCCCTTTAATTCTGCCAGTGCCAGCTTTCATCTCCAGCAAAATCATCACAAAATGTCTAACCAGCAGTTTGCCCAGAGCATGCCACAAGTTGGTCTAGGAGCTGGCCGACCTATGACCTCACTAAACAGTTCCGTCCCTGCCCAAATGATGCCAAACATAACATCACAGCAAAGGACAAATCCTACCAGTCAACAGCCAGCGCCCAATCAGCAGGTTCTACCAGTGATGAACCAGGCAGTTCCAGATCTGTCAGCATTTAGTCAAAACCCTGGTCAGCAAATGGCCAACAGGGCTGGCCTTCACTGTAATCAGAATTACCAGGTGAGGTCAACAGGTCAGGACTTGCCCTTTGGGTACAGTGGACAGTCTGGCAACAGCGGCTTACAGAATTTGTCAGGCGAACCTGATCTGCTGGACTCTTTACTCAAAAATAGGACTTCAGAAGAGTGGATGAATGACTTGGATGAGCTATTGGGGAACCATTGATACCAAGCCGGTTTCTTTTCTTTTTTTTTTTTTTTTTTTTTTTTTTTTTTATACAATGGTTTTAAGAACCTTTTTAGTACATTTTTATTGAAAAAATGAAAAAAAACTAAAATGTAAATTACATTTGGACCAAAAAAAATCTGTGCCATCGAGATGCTATTGTCACTGAGGCTGGAACATTGTATGTCCTGCTGGTTTTTCTCCCTACCCTCTGTAGACCGCTAATAATGCCTGGAGCATGATTCGGTCTCTGCTCACCACTGCCTGCCTCTGTCATAGATGTTGACGAGGCCCCTCTTCCTGTCTCAACAAATGCCTTATTTTATCAGCACTGTGTGAGAAATGATGGGTCCTTTGCAGCAAAGAACCAATTTAGTTGTTACCATTTTCATGTCCTTTATAAATCATTGCTTGTCATTCTTCTGTTTACCCCTGGTAGGTGTTAGTTCAGTGGGTGTGCATCTCTTGTATCGCTCATTTGGCTAAGATGTCCTGCAGTGTTGACTCTTCTTGTAAAGCAGGTGACTGAGGTACATTATTTTGAAGTCAAGGCAACAGCTTGTTGACATTTTATTCCATAAGGTTTCTTTATCATCGATCACTTTGATTTTTAGGTTGGGAAAATATAGAAAGTAATTGGTTGCTATGGACAACACATTCACATTACGGTTTTAAAGAGGGTTTCCATTAAAACTGGAAATTTTCCTTGATAAATGACTATATATTAATATAGTTTACATATTTTACCTGTATCACCACTTATCTGGTTTTGCACTACAGCTGTACATACAGTGGTTCTATTAAATACCATTGTAGTCTTCACTCATCTTCCACTGGTTGTATTCCCTGGAGAACCAATTTTCTTGTGTTACTTCAGTAATTCAGAGCTTACACGGGGGTCTCAATTTTTCTTGGAATCTGTCTATAAGTTCTTAAATACCAGTTTGAAATGCCCACACCATGTTTACTCAGAGCCAACTTTGTGCAAGTGACGTACACAAAAGAGGTGATAATAGAGGTGTGGTCATATGTCTCAATAGTGTGTGTGTGCGTGTGCACTTTTTTTTTTTTTCTTCGTTAAAATTAGTTTGTGTAAATTACTAAACAAATGGTCCCAATTACTGTAACATCTTTTAATAGCAAAAAGCTCATCATGCATGTTAGCAAGGAGTATGTTTTCCTATTCAGCCCTTGAGGATCATTACATTGTGTTTTCCAGATCTCTTCAGTCATAGGTGAAAAGATTAGTCTTTCTTGTACATGTTTGACACAACTGTCTAGAAGTAAGGAAACTGTGACCTGGTGGTAGTTTTTTTGAGGAATGGAATTGGGAGACACTTACAACCAATCCGTGGAGCAAGCAACATGTTAACCCCAGTGCCCCTGCGCATTCCTGTCAAGAGCAGAGGTTGCCTGTATAAGTTCTTGACATTGAGTCTGGGTTCACATATATGCGGTGCGGTATATCACATGTGATTCGCACAGGAACCGCACTGCACTCCTCTGCAAATCACATGCGATTTGTGTGCTGTACAATTGGAGCCATACATTTTGTATGGCTCTAATCGCACCGCACCAAAAAGATGCAGGATCCTTTTTTGGGGGTCCACACTAGAATCTGATTGCATGGGTATTCATACCTATGCAATCCAATTCTGCACATCGCACAGCATTTTGCGGACCGATTTTGGGGTGTTAACATACACACCCACAGCGGTTCGCATGAATGGGGTGCGATTCTGATGCGGTGTGGAATTCACACTGAAAAGGCTGCAAATTCTGCACCATATCAGTGTGAACCAGAGCTTCAGCTGAACTCCAGGCAAACATGAAAAAGAAGAAAGGACTGCAGTTCGTCATCACCCCTGAAATACCTGTGTGGACTTTCCAATAATTCAGGCTGACCCTTTTTTTCTTTTTTCCCTGTCCACAATAAAGCAGAACTGTTTCTAGGTACTTACACCTGTTTATAAATACATGAATTGTTTAATGAATATATAATTGCATTAATTGGGGTTTTAGTGTACCTGCCTCGAAGTTTAGCTTTACTGAGTACTGTTAACAAATTTAAAAGTTGTCTCTAATTTCTTTGCCCTATTGTTACCTTAACCCATGCACAAGTCCATAATTATGTACTGACAATAGATAACTATGCAAAAATTGAGAATTGTAGTGTTCTTTATCTCCTTTGTAATATAAAGAACCAAGTGTTCAAGGCTGCCCCCAGTGAGATAACATTGTAGGACTTCAGGTACTGGCCTGCCCCTTGTTAGCAATCCATTTACTATAATGTCTACATTATTTAAGATTTCTATTGCAAAGGGATGACAGGAGAGGATACTCTTTGTACTGGTTGAAGAGCAGTTGATCAATACCCTGGGTTGCTAGTAGCATTGCCACAGCATTCTGATATAGTAATTTTAGTCAGTTTTTGAGTTAGCACAGACGAGTGCCACTTAAGTGTAGATCACGAGCACGGTTTTAAAAATGACAGGTCTGGCGCACCTCTATTCATTTTAGGCTACAGTTAGTATAGCAACAAATCATATCCATCTTATTTCAGCTACTTGCCATTATTTCTGAAAAATGCTTGTTTGGCATATCCAAGTTCTACAGTGTTGATAAAAAGCTAGCCATTACTATTTAATAAAAAAAAAAATTGGACATGCAAGCGGGATTTCAGGTGTCACATTTTTGTAAAATGCACATAAAAATGCTTACTTCAGTCACCTGGGGTGTATTTAATAGCTAAGGAGATGTGCACAAGACACCCTGACTAATCCTGAGGGGGAATCTACAGCTATTTTTGCAACAATATACAACAAATCATGAATTCCTTATTAATGGTGAAGGTTGGGGGGCTCTGGTGCCCATTGACGTGAGAATTGTCACTGATTTGGCCAAAGCCAGGTAATTTCTCTCATCTCTGTGGTTACCTTTAAAGCAGAGCTATCCTCCCCTTCTCTCCAGAAAGGCAAATGTCAGCAGATTTGAGATTGAATTAAAATTCGTGACATGAATGCTTTTATTGCACACCCTGGTGGTTTACGAAAACTGGAGAGTGCACAATCTGGTACAGCTCTGCATAGAAACCAATCAGCTTCCAGGTTTTATTGTCTAAGCTAAATTGAGCAGGCTGAAGTTAGAAGCTGATTGGCTACCATGCACAGCTGTTCCAGATTCTGTTTTAGTAAATCTGCCCCACTGTTTAGTTCCTGAACACTGCATAGGTAGCAGAAGTATATGAATAAGAATTGACCAAGTCCTTTCTGCTTTGTGCTGACTCTTTGCTCAGTGGCTGTTGATACATCATCATGTTGTCTGTATGTAGGCCATATTTTAGTGTCATTTTTTTTGCCAATTTGAGATTGGGGGGAAAAAAAAACGAATGCTTCCTAAACTGAATTATGTTGGTTCTGTATGGATTAAATTTTTTGAATTTCTATTTTTAACTACTTTATATATTCAGTTCTTTTTTATGTTGCTTATACATTGACCTAGACATAGCTTTATATGTGGAAATTGTAGTACTGCGTGTGCAGTATAAATAGCCCAAGCAGTCGTATTGTTTTGAGGAATTGTCCTCTTTTGGATGTCTTCCTTGTTTTGTGCAGTACTTGGTTTTCCTAAATTGATAATTGGGAATGAAGGTTTAGAAAGTTTGCTGTCCTCTTTAGGAAAACTATGGCTTGAAGCAATTCTCAAATTGAAAACCTTGATTTTGGTTTTCAAATGTGGCAAGGATATTCATATTTGGTATACCTGTACTAGTAGTGGCCAGCCATTTGGATTATTTTATGTTGTCCCATATTAAATGTAATTTGGATTTTCACTACGTGGTCTTAACCATGCATATTCTATTTTTTTAAATAATTACTATTTGGGTAGGTTTCCACCAAGAGACTTAGTCTTTTATTAAATGGGTCTAGCACACTTTTCACCAGTGATGTATGTTCATTTGACTGAATACATTTTCACAACACTACACTTACATTATTTAGCTCTTTTTAATAAGGATATTGTCACATCCTGCTCTGTTGTATCTTCTGAAACCGGCTGGTGGCCAAAATCCACTACTGCTGCTGCTGTTGAGATTTTTTTTTATTTCAGCCATTATTCTGCACTGAAAGATCTTGGTCTCTAGGAAACATGGTGCCTGTAAGCTAAACTGTGGTCAGATTCTAGCAGGGCTGCACAGTTCAGTCCTCAAGGGCAGGCAGGGTACACAAATGATGTTAGTGTGGCGACCTCCCCCGCTGTGCCTTTTGTGTTCTGACAGAAGGACTTCACCGTGCCAGAACACACTGATCAGCATCACAGCCATTGGCTGCCAGCACTGGTCACTTTCTGGTCAAATACTGGTTTTTCAGCATGCCCATTTGACAGAAGTCAGTCGTAAGACTGGCTCCCGTAGAACAGACAGCTGATTTTTGGCCCGTGGGTTAGAAGGCTTTAAAGGAGAGGTTCAGCTTTAGCAACTTGTTAACATGTTAACACTTATATTCAGGGTGTAACCTGTTACTATGCAGCAGCCTCCCTCACCTCCTGAGACAGCCTCCCCCCCACCTGGGCAGGGATTCTTTCATGCAGCCACAGTCACAGTTAAAATAAGTATGGTTGTGTGGATGCAGCCCTGTCCCAGAGATCCAGGGAATGAAGAAAATATGTCTGTTTGCCAGGTGGAAGACGACTTGTAGAGTGTATTTATTGGTGTGCTAGCAGTTCATTCACACTTTCTCCAGCTCCAAACTGAAAACCGTACAGAGGTACGGTCAGAAAGCTGGGGTAATCCTCTACAGGAGCCTGGCGTTGCACCCAGGATCCCCCCACCCCCCTATTTTTTTTTTTAATCTTTTTTTCTTTCTTTGTTACACAGGTAAACCTATCCTTTAAAACTCTCTGGTCTGTGTGGACTAGAGTCTTGCTCTTGAAGTAATGTTATTTTTGCAGCCAGTGGGGTGCAGTGCTTGAAGTATTCTTTTCTTTTTCTCTGATTTAAT